CAATTAGTGGAGCTCTCATTTGGTGGGAGGTCATGCTGTGTGTTTGTTCTGCGCACGGCAGCATCTGACACTCAGAAAGGGATTCTGGTGGTGTCCTGGCAGCCGCTCTGCCTGAAGAGCCAAAAGGGAGCCTCCCTCCGGGTAAGTCAGCAGGTGTTAAGTGTATGCTAAGCTGGTCTCAGCTGGAAGTCACTCTTTCAGTGTTAAGGGATTGTTTTGCATATCCGAAAGAGTTTGCTGAGCTGTTTAACTAGAAGTATTGAAGGAATAATGCCGCTTTTATCCATTTCAGTCTATCATTAATAATAAAAGTAGCTTTTCTTTCTCATTTCTGCCTGGTTCGGTAGTACTATGAATTTAAGAGGGATCTCTAACCGGAGAATTAAACTAAATCAAAACCACTTCCTATCCACAACAACAGCATCACAGATGTGAATTTTGACTGAGAAGATGATGCACAATTTTGTACCATGAAAGAGGGAGTTAAATCACTGATCTTTCTCTAGAGGGTGTACTACCCAGTGGTCTCATTATGAAAAAGCCCCTTATTTATGGAGAGCTCAGAGATTGCTATTTGGAAGGGTCACCTGCAATTCTGTTCTTGTTGCTTCCCTTGGGGATTGCATGACACGTTTACTATTCATGCCGAATCCTGATTTAACATGGTTCAGCTTTTGGGTTTAACAATATACGCCTTACTTCAGAATGGAGGGAAAAAAATCCATACTTAATCCCACATTAGGTTTGTGGTGTCTAATGTTAAAAAGGAGCAAAGAGCATGAGGTTAAATTTAAAGATATACATCATACTATAGATCACTGACAATTAACTTTCAGTCAGTAGCAAGCTTTTAAAATGATGCCTCCAAGGGGAGTCAGTGTGAATATAGGAAATACCAGGGAAGAGGGAAAGTTGTATAAACGGAAAGAGTTTTGAGGGGCAGGGAGGGGAAGCACGGACTTTAAAAAGGCACTATAGTTGGAATTTTAGAATGAAAAGGCATATAATTCTGGTAACAGCCTGATCCAATATTAAAAACTCAAATTGACTTCAATCAGTGTTAATGAGACAGTTTTCAGATTAGTTGCTCTAAATTTTTCCAATTAGTAAATCTTTCATGGCTAAAGGACAATACCTTTTTTGTGTAATAAGTACAGTTAGAAAGCTGAAAATTAAATAGTCAAGGCTGTATTCTTTCCCTTAAACTGAGCCTGATCTCTGCTCTCTTCTTCTCACTCTTTTTCTAATGAAAAAGCCCCGGCTGTTGTCATTTTAAAGGAAGACAATAGAAACGGGAGACTAGAAGACAAAGGCAGACAAAATGCATTAGCAAGAAGGTCTACAAAACAGTTGTTAACATGGAAAGCTTTTTCCTTAATTGAAGAGTCCTGCCTGACATCTCTGTGCAGTAAAATGCAAGAGAGCAAGTGTCTAAACAAAGGGAGAAGCTCTTCATTAGTTTTGTCCACCACATGGTTCCTAAAAAAAAGGCTTTACAAAGTCTAATGTTCCATTAAAAGGCAAGGTATTTGCTCTGGGAAACCATTTAGGCTTAAAGACACTGTTTTAGGGAAAATTGGAGTACAGACGGTGACTTCCAAAGCCATCTTCTGAAAGGTCACCTTTTTGGTGATATCAGAAGCATGCATCAATGGTCAGTGGGACACTGATGAGACCCTATTGTCACCAATTGAATCCTTTATACCCAATGGACCTGATTCTTATGCACAGCTTTTATATTGCTTAGAAAGAACAACCGTGAGCGATCATCATTTTTACTGCCAGAAGAACGTAAAGGGACTTTGATCGTGAGAATCAGGCCCATAAGGCTTAAAGGGTAGAAAACATTAAGGTTAAGGAGGGCGATTGATTCAGCCCCCGTGTTCTCCTATTCTTCATTTACATTTAAGCGAAGTGCACAGATATTTGCTTATAACTTTCTATTTCCCTCTTCCCTCTCCACGTCTGCTCTTAGTGCCACTCTGACTCTCTTACAGCCAGCAAGGTTCCTTGAAGGTTTTCATCATACTTAAAAGGCAGGACAGGGGAGCCCTAAATTAGCTTCCCAATCAACTTTTTAAAGTAATACTTAATAAGCCCAGAGACTTTTCAGGAGCAGTTTAGTGCCACTTCCCTTCCCAGTCTTGCTGTGAAACTCAACAGCACTTGAGAAGTGGCTGCGCTGAATTGGAAGCTGATTTAGGTCTCTTCTCCTTCCTCGTCTAGCAATACATACAAGCCTAAGGAGGTTTCAGTTAAGGGACCAAGGAAAAGTTACCAAGGAAAAAAATTCAACTACATTTTATTATATCAAGTGCATTTTACAGATCCCATGACCCTCCCTCCTGCCTGACCTTTGGCTGAAACAATGGAAGCTCTCCAGATATGGCTAGAGAAGGAGTGAGAACAAAATATTGCCTTCCTATTAGTTTAATTCTTGATCTTCAGCCAAATGGGAAAAGATCAGTGAGCCTAAGTTTTTTGCAGCCTTTTGTGAACAGCTTGCTGCAGCTCTTTTGATTAACCCCCAGCCCTTATTATTTAACCACAAATACATTAAGGTCATACATATTGAATTCTTTTCATGGCAGTCTAGTGTTTAATAATAAACTTTATTCAAGAGAACTGAACAGTTCCAAGGCAGTGCTCTAGAAATGTGATTTTGGAAGAGCACGAGTGACCAGTCATACGAGGGAGAAAAAAAAATGTACCACATGGGACTAGCAGGGGTCAGCACAGTCTCCATCATAGGTGAATTGTCACTGAGACAGAGATAAAGGGATAAAACAGAAAATAAAGAAATAATAAAATATCAAGTAGTAAATGTCAGACAGCTTGTTACTAAAAGACAGGCATTGTCAAAAAAAAAATAAAAATCAATAATTAAATTACGAGCTGGTTTAGGACTTTCACATTCCTTTCTCCCCATATCCAATACGCTTTTCTAGTCACTTTGATAATTTTGTGTCCTTTATGGAACTTGGTTTTGTAAAGGCAATGCAATATTTATTGGCTTACAAATCAGTCTGTCTTACATTTGTTTTTCTTCTGTTTACCTCCAAACTTTTGTAAATTTATGTATCTAGTCACTGAAATATTTATGCAAGGAAGTTCCAGAGGGAAACAATCTTGTTTTCACAGATTGTAGTTGGTGCCCTGAGACAACGCCGTGGATAAATAAACAATAAAAATCAGAGAATTACTTCTGCACATATTTGATGACAGCGCATGCTCCCCATGATTTCTGTAAATATTTGGAATTTGTAATTACTGAACTAAAAGGCTAGATCCTCAAATGAGGTACGTTAGTAGAGCTCCTTTTGAGTCTACAATAATGAACCATTTGAAACCTGCTGAGGATCTTGCCCTTACATTATTGTTCTTCTTCATCAAATTTGATATGGGTCTTATGTTTGAAAGAATAATAAACCGATCAGGTCATCTGCTGCATTGATCTAAGAGTTAGCTACTTCATTAGATATGCTGTTCATGGTGCTCGATTAAAAATGTACCAGCTTTGAAAGCAGCAAGGAAAAACAACTTCTTTGTGAAGATTAATCCTTAAAATCAGCTTTCCTAAACTACCACACACTGGAAAAAAGAAAATAAGGATTTGCACTGGGGGAAATGGATTACTCAAAGAAATGGCAATGGGAAACAGAGCTTTTTCAGTTCCACATTTTCAGCTGCAACACTTTCTAGTTCTGTGATAATCAATATTGTTGCAAGCCAGGTGGTGCTGTATCTTAGGAGAAATAGTGATCTCAGTCTGACAATAGGTCACAGATTCTCTTCTCGTTTCCCAGCTAGTCATCCTTATTAGCATCCTTAGTAAGGAGTTTGAGGATCCAGTGAACACAGAGAATGAAATGTTCTCCTCCCTCTAATAGTGGCCTCTATAACTGGGAATAAAGCTGTTAAGATGAAGCTGTGTGTCATCACCCATGTTGTATTACATTATATCCCCTTAATCCAGCCAAAAATACAGATACCAAAATGGTGCCATCAGTTCAACCAATACCACTTCCATTCTTCAGTCCCTTTTATTATGTCCCCTTGTCACATCTTATCAAGAAGAATTTCTCGTTTTCACCTGCAGGTTCTGCACAACTCTGTGATGTCTTGAGCATGTCTACCTACACGTGCATTCATACTTTTTTCCCCTCATGTGCATTAAATTTAGTACCTCCAGTGTGAGATATTAAATAAATGCGTGTTAAGCTGTCCAAATGCATAGTAGCGAAAGTGCATACTTTTTCAGTGATGCTTAATGAGCCTATTTTACTGTGCACTAGGCATATTTGCATGGGTCTTTTACACCACACTTTAATGTGCAGTAAAATAGGCTACTGGGCATTAAAGCACACAGGTAGATACCCCTTATTTCTGAAGTTTTGCTACTTAAAAGAGTACATCTTTTATTCCTGTTCTTTCACTCATATGCACCTCACCACAAGTGGTGTTCTCGTACTCCCAGGTATGTGTCTTTTTCTATCATGCCCTAGGTATGGGGCAAATCACCAAATTCCATGCATCAGACCCCAGAATTTCCTCATTCAACACTTTCTTAAAGAAACTTTTTCTTCGATGTCCGGAAGTTCTCATTCAAATGACTTCTCAACCTCAATGCTTTCCAAACAAGAAATGGGAACAAAGGAATCCAAGTAACCATCTTCCCTGGAATTCACGGTGATTGCCACCTTGCTAAACAACCCAGGGAAGGGGATGCCTTTTTTATGTGCCTTTCATACAGAAAAGCCCACCCTACTTAAGCAAGAATAGGCCAGGTCCTTAGCCAGTGTAAATGAGCCTACTCTGATTAATGCCAGTAGTGCTGATTTATGCTAGTTGAGGATACTCCCGCAAGATAATACTTAATAAATAATAATAAAATCTTTCCAAACACAGAAGCTTAGAAAAAAAAAAATCAAATTATGTCAATCTTGTAACACTAGGCAGAGGCAGTAATGAATGCCAGTTTATACACTGTAATATTGTACCTTGCCATATGTTCAAGTAGCTTCCCTTGGAGAATTCCATCTCTCTCATATGGACAGAAGAATGAGAACAACAAACTGTTGAAAAGGTCACCAAGAAATACAAACATCACAGATGGCATAGGTGAAAGCACTGCAAAAAAGCAGAGTGAAAGAAGAATGTGTAGGAGTATCAGTCTTTAATTGGCAGTGCTGAGATAGAAAGTGCACTTGCATGCTACCTTTATTAATATTAAAATGACTATTGTAAATATAGCTTATGATTATTTGCCAGCTGGTCCTGATCCTAGGGAGATGAAACACAACCTTATTCCTCACTGACATTCCACAATGAAACTTCCTTTTTTCAGTAGATTAAAAGGGCAGCCAAGAAACCCTGTGACCCCAGTCCTTCACTTTGATGTCCTGTGGAGGAGAAGGTTTTCCCCTCTCTCTTTTTACAGAGAGCTATTTTATCATTCAGATTCTTATACTACACTGTTCCTGTCTTGAGCTGGAACAAACCCATTCTCTATCTAAGTGATATGCAGAGACATCCAACTACTCTCTATTCCATCTATGAAAGAGTCACAAAGCAGTAGATGCCCAATGTTTGCAGTAACTCTGTGATACTTCATAGATAACAACAGGTTACAAGATCACATCCCATCAAACTCAAGAAATAAATACGTGGGGAACGTTGTTCAGTTCTCATGACTAAAGACAAGATAAGTGGAGGCACTCTAACAGGTAACTGGTTACAGAGCTGAGTTTGATGAAAAAGATAGTGTGCCCAATTCTAATTTAAGATTTCTGTGTTTGTCAGAAAGTTTTAAGTTTTGACAACGAGTAAAAACGGCTTTTCTCTGTGAAGTCACATGCCCTGGTGACTATTAAAAAGCCGACAGTTTTTCAACAGCTGGTGATCTCTCAGGGCATCTTTACATATGCTCTGGGGATAGGAGGGGGGGGCTTTACAGTGGCTCCGAGAGCTGCTATAATTAAAGTGTTCACAGCATCCTGTGTATTCAAGCTCATAGATTCATAGATGCTAGGGTTGGAAGGGACCTCAACAAATCATCGAGTCCGACCCCCTGCCTAGGCAGGAAAGTCTTAAAGACCCCCAAGGTAGGGGAGAGCACCACCTCCCTTGGAAGCCCATTCCAAATTTTGGCCACTCTTACTGTGAAGAAGTTTTTCCTGATATATAGCTTAAATCTGCTCTCTGTCAGTTTGTGACCATTGTCCCTTGTTACCTCAACAGGCCGCCTGGTGAACAGAGCATCTCCGATCCTTTGCTGCGTCCCCCTGATGAATTTGTAGGCGGCCACAAGATCAGCTCTCAGCCTTCTCTTGCAGAGGCTGAAGAGGTCCAGGTCTCTCAGTCTCTCCTCATAGGACTTGTCCTGTAAGCCCCTAACCATACGAGTGGCCCTCCTCTGGACCCTCTCGAGTCTATCAACATCCTCCTTGAAGCACGGCACCCAAAACTGGACACAGTACTCCAACTGTGGTTTGACCAATGACACCCACATCCAAGTCACTGATGAAGATATTGAAGAGCACAGGTCCAAGGACTGAACTCTGCGGGACCCCACAACTCACATCCTTCCAGGTTGATACCAACCCATCTACTACCACTCTCTGGGTGCAACTGCTAAGCCAATTTGCCACCCACCAGACCATGTCAACCTCTGTTACAGCCTCTTAATTTATTTATGAGAACGGGATGAGATACCGTATCAAAGGCCTTGCTAAAGTGCTAAAGTCCAAGAAAATGACATCCACCTCTACTCCTGCATCTGAGCATTTTGTGACCCTGTCATAAAATGAAACCAGATTGGTCAGCCATGATCTACCTGCTACAAATCCATGCTGGTTTCCCTGCTGCATTATTTTTCCCACTGGACTCTCACAAATATGATCCTTCATAATCTTTTGAAAGGATGGACGTGAGACTGACTGGCCTATAATTACTTGGATCCTCCTTCCTCCCCTTCTTGAAAATAGGGACCAGGTTGGTCCTTTTCCAGTCCTCCAGGACTTGACCTGAGTGCCATGTGAGCTTAAACAGCTGTGCCAGTGGTTCTATGACACCGTCCAGTTCCTTCAGTACCCTCGGATGCAGCTCATCCGGGCCTGCTGATTGAACACATGCAGTCCATCCAAGCGACTCTGCACCAAGTCACTGTCAGCAGTTGGTGGGCTGGTGCCCATCTAAGAATCCATTAGGAGACTTACCTTGAGCCCTGTTCAGGAACACCAAGGCAAAAAACTCATTGAATAGCTCAACCTTGTCCCCCCTGTCTGTCACCAATTGCTTCTTCTTGTTCAGTAGGGGTCCTATGCTGCCCTGGGCCTTCCTTTTACTCCCTACATACCTAAAAATAGAATTTTTGTTGTCTTTAATTTGTGTTGCCAGCCTCAGCTCTGTAGTTGCTTTGGCTTTTCTAACTGCCTCCCTGCAAGTGCGGGCCAAGTAGGTATGATCCTCCTTGGTAGCTTCCCTCTGCTTCCACCGGCTATATGCCTTCTTTTTTGCCCTTAGGCTCCCCTGGATTTTCCTGTTTAGCCAAGGAAGTTTTTGGGCTCCTTTCCCGCTTTTCTCTTGTGCTGGGATAGTCTCCCTCTGTGTCCAAACGATAGCTTCCTTTAGAAACGATGACCTTTCCTGGACTCCCACCTTGCCAATGCTCCTATCCTGCAGTGTGTCATTGACTAGACTCCTGAGCACACTGAAGTTAGCCTTCCTAAAGTCAAGCACTTCCACCCTACTAGTTATCTTCCCTACCCTACACCGTATGGTGAATTCAGTTGATTGGTGGTTACTGTCCCCAAGGTGACTACGAATCTGCAGGTCCCCTACCAGGTCCTCCCCCATAGCCAACACCAAGTCCAGTAAGGCATTCCCCCTAGTGGGACTGTATACCTCCTGTGTTAGGTGAAGGTCCTGCATGCAGGTTAAGAACCTATGTGAATGGTTGGATTGGGCTGACTGCTCCTCCCAGCAGATGTCAGGGTGGGAGGAGCAGTCAGCCAAATCCAACCGTTCACGTAGGCTCTTAACTTGCTCGTTTGACCAGCTTCAGTTAAACTGCTCCCACTGCCATTTTGAAGTGCGGTAATGCTGAATACATGAGACAGAGGCTACTGGAACACACTAATTAGCACATTCCAGCAGACTACATTAATCGAGTCTGCTCCAACGTACTGTAATTACAGTACATTGGAGCAAAGTCCCCGCACATCAACAGGCACTCTGAGACAGAGCTGTATGAGAATTGTATATAGTTAACAACCCTAAACATATAAATAATTATGGCCAAGGATGGTCCAAGTAGCTGTGGTACTTCTGAAGCTATTGATGCCAACTAGAAGCTTTATCTTTTCAAAGCTCCAGGATGGCACACAGTATGTTATAATCTTTTGCAATTCAGGATAGCGAATGAAGATGTGATTACCTCAGACCAGTGTACATTTTAAAATATTCAACAAAGAAAAGAAAAATATTTGGAGGAAGGTACCAGACTCATATTAAGTCATTTCAACAGAGGATGGGCAGTGGTCAAGTGAAAGAAGGAGACTCTTCTTCACATGGGGAGAAGGCACCACATGGGTCAAAGATTCTCACTTAGTTTGGAAGAACTAACAAGAGTAAAGTTGTGATGACTTCACAGCAGTTTCTCTAGAAAAATCTGTTGGGGGAAAAATGTACTAAAATTCCCAATCATTTGGATTTTCATGCTTAGTGCCTAAAAAAATTCATGGCAAGATGAAGACCATGGATAAGCTCAAAATTTAGCCTAATCATTTTACCAGCCAGAAACATCATCTCCATGGAAGGACATGGATATAGGAAGAAGCTTTTACATGATAAACTAGGGTGCTAATTTTAAGTGCAACAGCTATTCCTTACTAACTTGTATAGTCACTCTTATTCCACAGTTTATTTCCACAGTTTAGTTTAATTCATTGCAGAACACCTCAATTTAGTTTAATTCACTGTTGAGAAAATATTAGCAGAGAATAAGAATGTCCACAGGAAAAAGCTACTGTGGAAGAGGGACCCCAAGCTATTTCAGCATGTAGACAGGTTCTTAATGTTATGGATATCAGTAGGCAAAAGATCAAATAAACATGTCAACGTCTTCTATGGAATCTGCTCTGTTCCTGAAGCTTAAGTCCCAGTAGTCAATGTAGACTTGAAAGATGATAAGAAGTATTACCTAGGCAATTCTTTCTTGATTTAGAGTAAAACTCAGCTCTCAGATCTGTATGACAGTTATCTTGGACTTTCTGCTTTCCCAGAGCACTGAGCTCCCAGTGTTCCATCCGCATTAATGTGGAATATAAAAAATTAAAATCCACCTTGTAGAGCTGGAATCATATTTTCACCTTCCAAAGGAATCCACCAGAGAACATTTGTTAAAATTCTAGTGACACAGCTGAATTTTTTTAACCTAAAATGCCTGCTTTAGGAGAGAGAGAGAGAGAAGTACCAAATAAAAGGAAAAAGAGAAAACTGATAGGAAATAGCCCTTGCTACCTCTAGACCTAGTCTGTCTTAGTACTCTTGTGGCCTTTCAGATACAACATGTTGGTTTATATGAAGGGTCATAGTCACTGTATTAAAAGGTTAGGGCTTACAAAATATTTCCTTTTTTTAAATTTTAATATAAGAAAAATGTCTTCAAAGCCTTTGTGAACATGTAAGTGTTTCTAAAAGGGGGTGGGGTGGAGGGGAGGAACTCTCTCCCACACACTTATTTTTGCCTTTCATTTCTTTTTTTTTTCCCCTCTTATTAAGGAGGAGAAGTCAGTTTGCCTTATTGTGCCTTGTTGTGCCTACATATGGGTTCATAAACATCTTCTCTCAGAGTACCGCAGTTCACTTACAGCATGATTAGGTGTTTACTAGAGATTCTAATCATGGCAAATAAGTGCTCTGAGCTCAAGAGATCACTAAGTTTTCCTGGCTAAACCAGAGATGAAAAGCAAATCTAAAGAGAATTAAAAAGATGGAAAATCACCCTGGGTACAAGTCAATGGGATTTCAAGTCAGATAACAGCCTTCAGAATTCAAAGCATTGTATTATGATCATATTTCTAACTCGGGATGTAGATACATAACATGATGACTCTATAATAGAGTAA